TGTGTCGCCAGATTACTGCAGTAGATTTGTTATTGCCGTGTCTTTCTCCTGTGGCCAATTGCCATTCTGTTTCTGCTCTCCTCAGATATTGAGACATGTCTTCACCTGGTTTCAAACTCAGACCCATCAGGACCCAAAAGACTCCTCTGACCTTATCAAATGGAGCCTCATCCTCTTGGTTGGTGGTTCCCGCTCTTGCTTCTAAGACTCTTAGTGTTACGCACGTACAGCATCCTGTGAGGGGAGGGGAACGTACATCGCGCTGCCAAGAACCCCAGAAGGCCAGAGACCGGGTGTGGGCTTGTGTGGGTGCAAGTAATCACACAAACACAGATGGTTATGGTTTAAACAGGCTATTACTTGCCAGTTTAATAATAATAATAATAATAATAATAGAAGGAAATGGGAGAACGGCTGAGCTGATCCGAAACAAAGAAATTAGCAAAACCCCCACCCCTTACCTGTCCTAACGTCCTACACAAAACACTTATCTAAACTGGCGCTCGAGCAAGGCGCCTTAACCAAAAATATAGGGGGTGGATCGCTCAGATCTAACCTGGTGTGTATAACAGGAGATATTCCTACGGGTGATGTATGCCATGGGCGTCTTTCCTAACACTCGCAAGTGCTTTCCGTTCTCCCTGGGAAGGACAAAAGAAATACAAATGATTAACACTTTCAATAATCCAAAACAATCCACCATGTACAACCAATTCACAATAGCACCCACAACACAACCTTACACCTTGCCTGAGAGATCTGGACTGAACAACCAGGAACACATAAATACAGCTGATGGGACGATGCGATTGGAGGATGGGAAAACAGGAACCAGCTGTAGGAGATAACGGGAGGGCGGATGAGTAATGAAGACAATTAGCTCCACCAGAGGAGGGTTAACACACAGAGCAGAGACATGTACACACACACACACACACACCCACACACAGAACACAGACAAGACCGGTTGTTGTGACAGCAGCCTCCATGTGGGCTATTAAGGCTCTTATATCTCCAAAAGCCAACTCATCATCTATTGTGTGCCTTTCAAAGAGCAGGATCCATAGGTTAGCTCCTCCATCCAATGGCGGCAGTGCCTTCTCCAGTGTTTCCCTGTCTCGATGACTCCAGGGTAGAAATACGCTGGGCTTATAGTGTACGGATAACATAATCTGTGTCTGAAACTTTACCTTCCACCACGTACGGACCTGAGAATCGGGCGGCAAGAGCAGAGCCAGGTGTGGGCAGCAATACCAGCACTTTATCACCTGCCTTTTTGTCAAAGCGTCTCTTCATGTTGACCTGAGAGGAAGAGAGTGACTCCTTGGTTAGCCTTGTAGCCTGGTGCAGACGCTCTCTACAGCTGGTTACAAAATCAAACACATTTTCACAAGAGTTATCACCCACTAGCTTCTCTTTCAACACTTTCAACCGGCCACGCACATTGTGACCGAACACTAGTTCTGCTGGGCTAAACCCTAAGGACTCCTGCTTTGCATCACAAATAGCAAAGAGAACAAAAGGCACACCCTCATCCCAGTCATTACCAGTTCCCTCCTTTCTCATGTCCACTATCAGCTCCTTGGTCTTGTCAGTGTTGAGGGTGAGGTTGTTATCCTCACACCATGACACCAAACTGGCCACTTCCCTCCTGTATGCCGCTACGTTCCCCCCAGTGATAAGTCCTATCACTGCGGTGTCATCAGCAAACTTCAGGACGATGTTATCCTTGTGGGAGGCGACACAGTCGTGGGTGAACAGGGTGTAGAGCAGGGGTGCTCAATACGTCGATCGCGATCTACCAGTCGATCTCCAAGGTACTATTGGTAGATCGCATGACAAGGTGAGGTGACATTGTCATGAACTGACGCTATACAAATAAAGTTGAGTTGTTTTGAATAAAAAAACTAGACGTCAGCCTATCAGCCATCCCGTCACTTGATTGATACACAGGACAACCAGTCAGATGACATCTGATTTTTTTCCCCGTACAATTAGGTCACTGTGCGTGTTCAAACAACGCCCCTGAGCGCTGCAAAGCTAACAAGCTAGTCGTTAGTTACATCCTAATTTTTCGCTCGGTTTTTTCCTCTTAAACGTAAGATAGGGTATAAAAATGAGTGGATGAGTGGAGCTGGACCAAGTTAAAAGAAAAAAACCTATCACTTTCATACGGAATGGGAGGAGGACTTTTTTTTCACGATGACATTTTCAAAGTGCGTTTGTCTCGTCTGCCAGTCTACCGTCGCAATACCAAAGAAGGGAAATGTGGAGCGGCATTTTCGGACTCTTCATGGAAAATACGACACTGAATTCCCGCCGAAAAGCGAGCTGAGAAAGACAAAGGTGAAGGAGCTAAAATCCCAGTTATTGGGACAGCAGTCATTTTTCACACAAGCTACTTCTAAAGCGAAAGCTGCCACCGAAGCATCATTCCGAGTAAGTCACATCATCGTTAAAAACAAGAAGTCATTCCAAGATGGAGAGATGGTAAAAGAGGCATTCGTTGAAGCAGCGGACTCATTGTTCCGGGACTTTAAAAATAAAGCAGAAATCCTGTCTCCGATCAAAGCTCTCCAGCTGTCAAGGAGTACAGTTACATGGCGTTGTGAAGCCATGGCTGAGGACTTAACGCAGCAAATGTGGAAGGACATCGGAGATTGCGTGTTTCTCACTGCAGTTGGATGAATCTACGGACGTGAGTGACACAGCCCAGATGTGCGTTTTCATTCGTATGGTGTTCAGTGATATGACTGCAAGATAGGATCTGTTAACATTACTGCCCATGAAAGAAAAGACGCGAGGAGAGGACATATTTCTGTTGTTCAAAAACTTTATTGAGAAAACCCAGCTGCCGGTGTACAAATTGGTGTCTATCACCACAGATGGCGCACCTGCAATGATTGGTCACTTGAATGGATTTATTGCCAAGTGTAGGCAGGACGATGCTTTCCCAGACTTTCTGAATTACCATTGCATAATCCACCAACAAGCATTATGTGCTAAAATGCTCAACATGAAAGAAATCATGGATGTCGCAACGAAGATCGCCTGTGCTATTCGAGCCCAGTCTCTTCAAAGACGGTTATTCCGTGCACATCTGGAGCAGGCTGACTGCGACCACGCTGACTTGTTGCTACACACTGACGTGAGGTGGCTTAGCCGAGGGAAATTCCTGCAAAGATTTCGAGAGCTCTGCCCGGAGATTAAGGAGTTTTTCCGTGCAACTGGGCATGCAGAATACAAGCAACTAACTGACGGTGAGTGGCTGTTAGACATGGCATTTTTAACTGACCTGACAAACATGTTGAACAACCTCAATCTAGAGCTGCAAGGAAAAGACAAAACAGTGATCAATATGATCAGCTCAGTTAATGCTTTCAAACGCAAACTGCAACATCTGTCCTCAAAGCTGCAGCGCCATGATTTGGAAAACTTCCAGAACCTAGCGTCAGAGCTGGAGATGCAAGGGAAGGCCTGTGTGCGACTTGACAGTGCACGCTACACAGAACAGATTGACAACTGTCTGTCAGAGTTTGAAAAACGCTTTCAAGACTTTTCTTTGCTCGAGCCAGTTGCAACATTCATGTGTTTTCCTTTTTGGGAAGATATGGAGATTGATTCACTCTCATCAAAAATTGCAACACTGTTTCACCTGAACTCTTCTGGAGTGGAAGATGAGATATTCACACTACAAGCTGACATTGAGCTGAAGTCCAGAGCTCATGGACAATTCTGGAACTTACTAGCAGAGGAAAAGTATCCCAACATGAGGAAATGTGCTACCTCCTTGACTGCATTTTTCGGCTCCACTTATTTATGTGAGTCAGCCTTTTCCTACATGAAGATAATTAAGTACAAGTACCGCTCCACTGTGACTGATGAGCATTTGGAAATGTGCTTGAGGCTGGCTGTCAGCAGCTACTGTCTGGACTATGTATCCCTGGCTGATTCAATTCAGTGCAAGTCATCAGAGTGAGCTCAGGTGATGGCAAAAAATGTACATAATTATGTTGTTCAGTCTGTTCAGTTCTGAATTATGTTGTGTTGTGCAACATATGTGGTTATACATCAACATAAGTTGTAAGAATCCTCAATATATTTCTCAATAAATATAATGGGTAGATCATTTTGACTTGGTCATTTCAAAAGTAGCTCCCATGCTGAAAAAGTGTGAGCACCCCTGGTGTAGAGGATGGGGCTGAGGACACAACCCTGTGGGGTGGCGATGTTGGTGAAGATGCTGGCTGAAGTCCTGTTTCCAATCCTGACAGACTGAGGCCTGCCAGTCAGAAAGTTGTTTGGGTTTTAAGTAGAAGTGAAAGCCTAGTCATGGAATTTATAGTACGTGTAATAATGTTTAGTGAATTGTAGTTTGTGTTATAAGATATCAGTTATTACATTAACATATCAGATGAAGTGAATGCAATTTGAATCAAACACAATGTATAGTCATGTAAATCATATAAACACTGTACACATTAACATTCTGTCACAATGTGATGTTAAAACCTGGGGACGGATGCTAATTGCCGTACTTTATGGATTTCTCCCAATTTTATCCCCAAAGAGGGTTTTTTGGGAGTTTTTTTTCCTGTCAGGTAGTAAATGAACAACTTAATGTAAGGCAGCCGACTGAGGCAAATGTCTTGAGAATTGAACCACATGAGCTGTCTTAGATCTTATGATGAAGTGTGATGAACGGTGATTATTAATGATGTGTTGTAATTAAGGTGTACTAGTTATAAGATGAAGACTTAAACAATGTATGCTTTGTTATATTCACTCATTGAGGCATAAAGCCAACTGTAGAAGGAACGTTTTAAAGGCTCACAAATCTACAGTATGTTTACACACTGAGCCCAACATCCTCTTTGAAGATCACTTCCAAAATCAACACAAAACAAAGGTCCCTCGCATCAGCTTTAAAATAAAATTGTAATCTAGAATAATGAATACAAAAAAAAATTCAATACCTAATAGATGAAACAGAAAAGATGTATTATTGAACTTCAGCATTATTCTTTATTTTGGATGAGGAGGAATTTTATCATTAAAACAAAAATAAAAATAACTTTTAACTAACCTGTAGTGAATCTACTGTAAAAGCCCAGACATGAACTGTACCACAAGTTTATGTATGTATGTGTGTGTGCTGTGGGAGGCGTGCAGGGACCCTCACAGTGGAGACACTCAGTGGTCTCAGGTCACTGACTTCCTCCCAGTGAGGCTGCTAATGTGTCTTCTCAGCCTCCTCTTGCTGCCCGTTGAGTTGATCTGATCACTTAACTTTAACTTTATTCCCTTGTTTTATACTAACCCATAGCCTTATTCTACTAACCCATTGCATTAGCATTTAATTTTACTTTATGTTATTACTTGTGCACTGCTGTCTACTGTCACGCACCAACCGGCAAGACAAATTCCTTGTATGTTTTACATATTTTGGCAATAAATGTTGATTCCTGAGTCACTCGCCAAAACGTGCCACCAGAAGGAGGCAAAGTCACATTTGCGAAACCTTTTCTTTCCCATGCTTCGAATGGTTTTACGTGAAGCACTCTGAACAAATGTGTGAACTCGCTTTGCCTACGTTCTCCAGGGCATTTGGAGAGCAGCGCTGCAGCAGCTCCTCGACCTCCGACCTCACAGCCCGGACAGGAGACGACGAACAAATCAAACCGGCGGCCTCAACGAACATCCCCAATTCCAACAGCAGCCTTCATTGGGAGGGTGAAGGCCCTAACCCTAACAGCAACGACCTGGACTCATTCTCCCCCATATCCAACTCCCCTAATCTGAATACAGCGGGTTCAGAGACTTTAACCCGCCGACGTAAACGGGAAGGTCAACCAGAAACCACCGCAGGCTAAACCCTTTTATGAATGGAATGGAATAATATCGCGTAACCCAACAATCACATGACATGAGGACCAAAAGCTGGACTTCTCAACTATCACACTTTAAAAAGAGTAATTGATCCTGATCTAAATCAAAGGTTAACAAACACACATTGAACGCAGTTCATGATATCATTCCAACTTGTTTTGAGTTGAAGAGAAGAAAATCCCACAGAAGTTTGTATCGAGAACAATCTACTACTATTTTGGTTTTATGAGTCAACAAGGTTCAACTAACACAACATTGTGTGCGATTTAACCCCGCTGTAGTTTACCTAGTTCACAATCTTGTTGTTATAGAAACATTTTCCATAGGACTATGTCAGCTGAAGGGATCATACAAAACCCCGCAATAGATGAATTTGTCATATGAAAATTATGAGAGTAACAAAATGTGTTGTGTGCTCAACCTTTGTGGGAGGTAAATTCAAAACACCTCAGCTATCTTCACATGTTTACAATGAAATGACCGAAGAGCAGTCCAATAATATAAAAAAGGCATCATCAAGACATTTTCAATGGACACGTTTCATAAAATTCCTTGTGAGTGACATTTTGATAATCATACAAAATGTAATTCTAAAATCCTACATTCCTACAGTGCAGCGCAGTACAGTACAAAGGCTAAACAAACGTATAAATACATGACCTTCTTCAAGACAGTCGAGCATCATTGTCCCTGATTTCACGTATATAAAAAAGAGACTGCCTTGAAGATGATCATACATTAGAGCAGGACCAAAAACAACATTTAAAAAAATTAAATACACGGAATAATCTGCAAAAGTTCTACCAGAAAAGTCCATCTATGTGTGTGTATGTTCCACTCGAAGACTAAGAAAAAAAACAGAAGAGAGAAAAAAAAAGGCAAAAGATTGAAAACCAGACAAAAGTAGTCCTGTGTTTATGCGCTGGCCTCCTTTGGTGTCCCGCTGATGTCTGGAATCTGATCTGCGAAGGACTGAGTCATCCACTGTCCGTCTGGCAGCTGGCCCTCTGGTATTTGTGACGTGGTCGCCTCCTGAGCGCCTTCTGAAGGAGAAGTCAGAAACAACTTACTGACTGCCACTCAGTGGTTTTTATTCTTAGATATATTCCCTTTTCTTCCTTTAATTTGTCTATTCCTTGTCATTGCATGTACTGTGTTTTGTTATGGAGTGGTAAAAAGCATACATGGCAAATAAGGCTCATTGGGATTTAATCCACATTTTTACACATGCAGCAGCTCGGTAAATGGATTTCTCCCCTCCGACTTAACTTTAATGGGGAAGTCAGGTTTCTCTGTCCGGATTCATTTTGTTATGCTGTTTAAGAAACAAGCTCACTGCAGAAAGCCGCCTGTAATCCGGTTGTTAAAATAAATTTAATAAAACGTGCAGAGCGGAACACACTCAACTGCGTTACCCGTGTTGTCTGCACTCGAGAACGTGCAGTGGCCGTTGGTCTGGCTTGGAGCCCCGGCCCCTTCGGCCCCTCCGGCCCCTTCGGCTCCTCTCTCCGCATACACTCCACCTAAGGCATCTTCGTACCCAGGATCGTAATGCTCCTCCTTTATGGCCATCCTCTTGGCGTCCTCTATTCACGTGAACAAAAAAAACAAAGAAAGAAGGAAAAGAGTGAATGCCAAACGTCACTTAATGGGATTATGACATTAGGGTGCTGGCACCAGATCTGGGGCAATGATGTCACTGCCTATAAGCATGTAACTACTTATTTCTAAATGGTTACATGGCAGGTTTATTGTCACTTTCATCCGTAACTGTGCTTACCTTTAGCCAACAACAGGTCAAAGGAGTAATCAACCTCTTCGACCTCAGTCGGTTTCTGGACGCCCTTCAGCTGGTCTCGGAGCTCCCTCAGTTTGATGTAGAAGTGGACTTTGTCCTGAGCTCGAGGGAACTGAGCACAGCGAGCGCTGGATGAAGGCATCAGGTACAGAGCCTGTGTGGGGGAGGGGGGGTCGCGTCAATACTTCTACGAAAGGCTGTGGAGTTTCTAGAAGGTTCAATTCAATTATGAATATTTAAGGTGCATATAACTGTTTTTAAAGGACCCATCGTATGCCCATTTTTTCACAAGTTGATATGGTTCCTTGGGGTCTCAATTAAATGTTTGTAACATATTTTGGTCAAAATACCACAAGAATCATTTCAAACAGCACCCTTTTTACCCTGTCAAAAACACCTCCCCACAGATTGACCTGTTTTGAGTGCTTGTTCCTTTAAATGCTAATGAGCCAGCTCCCCCCTCTCCTCTCCCCCCTCCCCCCTGGGTCGAGTGGTGGTGGGGGGCGGTCCAAGGCCATGGAGGCAGACTCCCTACATGGGCGTGCTTCAAAATCTACTTAGTCGTTGGTGGTGATCCTATTGGACGCACTCAAGCATATCGTTTCTGACACCACAACACAATACCACACCACAACAAGCCGTGTGAGATGTTTTTTTCCAGTGTTTTTGTGTTGGGAGACATGCCAGATACCCAATTAACGTATAGAAGCACTAAAAAAGTGGAATTTTCATAATTTGGCCCCTTTAATATTGCTTTTTATTAGAAACCTCATTATGAGACTGTCACGGATATTTGAGAATAATGAAGCAGTGAGGGACTCACCACCTCACAGTCGGGGATCTTGTGCGGCTGCAAACCAAAATTAAGTTTCTTTGGTTTCTTACCAAACATCTCTCTGCAGAACATTTCATAAATGCCTTTGGGGGATGAGAGAAGAACAGAAAATGTGACTTCAGTTAACATTCACGAATCATTTCACTGCAACTGTGGCTCTGTCGTAGAGTGCTTACATTTTCCATTAAAAACAGCAATAAGAGGCTTGAACGTCTTCAGCTTCTCTACAAGGATTTTGCCTCCTTCACGCAACTCTTTACTGTTGAGATGGAAACAAAAGAAAAATGGCATCAGAACAAAAGTCTAATTTGTGCAAACAGGAATCTCAGCTGATTTAAGATAAAGATGCCCCCTCCTGGCGCTACATATAGATCTTCAAACATTACCTTGAGAGATCTTTACTCCCTGGCGTCGCTCTGGCCACCATGTTGGTGAAGCCCATTTTGTACTTGCCAGGCAGTGTGGTGTCGTGCATGTGGTTCAGTAGCTCCTCTGTGAACCCGGACAGAAAGAGGCACTTCCCTGAAATGCAAAGTCACCTCGTCATTTCTCTCTATGGTCAACACAAGCAGATGTATAGTTAATGGTACAGCACATCCAGCTTAATTTAGAACGTAGGGGGAGGAAAGAACAAAAATATTCCGGCCATCATGTTTTCAATCTTAATTTTTAAGGTGCAGAAGTCAAACGGGGCCTCGAAAAATAGAACCACTCACGTAACAATCAAAATCATTCAGGCAATTGGTGTCTTGCATTTTGAGGAGTTTTTGTCAAGGCCAATCGACCTTTTGTCTCCTAAACGACGGTGGAGTGGTCAGCGCAGCCGACTAGAGGTTAAATTCCCCTTCTCAGGCCTGATTTTGCCAGCGTGCATCTCTTCTCCAAGGCCATCAGACATCCAGGCGACCTGAAATCGGACTAAGTTTCTTTTTCTTTAAACCAAGCTAGTCTGCTAACTTTGTTGTTGATTCTAGTGTCTTAAGTTACTTTGATTGCTGTTTGCTTTAGTTCTTGCCGTTTTACTTCCAGTTCTCTCTGTTTGAGGTTAACTTGGCTCGTAGTTTGCTTAAACTCTTTCACTTTTTTAGTCCCAGTTGGTGCTCTAGACCAGTGTTTTTCAACCAGTGTGCTGCGAGAGGCTGTCAGGTGTGCCGTGAAAAAAAATCATTTTTTACATACTGTCACTTCATTGGTGAAAAAAAAAAGAGCCAACTTGTGTGTTTGTGTCGTCCCGCTGTTGGTGGTATGAAGGCTCAATACTCCCCTCTGCCTGTGGGTGGCGGTACGCAACGTAATTAATAGGCAGATTTGCTGAGGCGACCATTTAAAAAAGTGAGATTAAGAGATGGGCATAAAGCCTGCCATCTTGGCATTATGATGATGTCACGTTTAATAAAACACAACAAATAGAACAACGCGTATCCCTGATTTCTTAGAGTATATTATGCTCATGCTGAAACTATGTTTGGTTTGATTTTCATATCATTTCCAGTTGTTGGTGTGCCGTGAGATTTTTTCTGTGTCTGAAGTGTGTCTTGACGCAAAAAAGGTTGAAAAACACTGCTCTAGACTGTACTATTAACTGCCAGTGTGCCTTCCTAACTCTGCTAGGTTTGACCTGATCTAAGTCTGTTTTGCCTTCACTTCTGAATCAAATAAGACTTACAAATAAGAAGATCCCATTTTGTCAAAACGCTACATGGTGATTGTTCACTGATTAGGGTGTCAGGCAATTGGTGTCTTGCATTTTGAGGAGTTTCTGTCGAGGCCAATCAACCTTTTGTCTCCTTAACGACGGGGGAGTGGTCAGCGCAGCCGTAGCCGACTTCCACTAACGAGGGAGTATTTAACTAGAAATAGAGTGAAGCGTTAGCTTCAGCGTTTTCTTATCCTCGCAGCACGAAGACGAGCAGGACAAAGACTAGGGAGTCTTTCGTGGAGTCTTCGAGGCGGCTGAATGCGGCGCCTTCTTCTAGTTTTAATTATGTGTTTGACCCCTTTACCCGTACCTGTCCGAACCTCTTCCCGCAGATACTACAGGCCTCATGCTAGATCTTCTCTCTATGGTAACCTTTCCTCTCTCACCTATCCCACCCGCTCCACACACGTCCAGCATCTCATCACAGGAGGCCTCTGGAACTGCCAGTCAGCTACTCGCAAGGCAGACTTCATCTCCGGCTTCGCTATCCAGCAGTCGCTTGACTTCCTCGCTCTTACCGAGACCTGGATCACACCTGAGAACACATCCACCCCAGCCGCTCTCTCCTCCGCCTTCTCCTTCAGCCACACTCCCAGGCCCACTGGTAGGGGTGGTGGCACAGGTCTACTCATTTCACCCAAATGGAGCTTTTCTCTTTACCCTCTTCTACCATCCACCCCACTGTCTTTCGAATTCCATGCTGTAACAGTTACTCACCTGGTGCAATTAACCATTGTTGTCCTTTACCGTATGTCCTTGGGTCATTTCTTGGAAGAACTGGACATTCTCCTGTCCAACTTCCCTGAAAATGCCCCCCCGCTCATCCTCCTGAGTGACTTCAACATGGAGACAGAGAAGTCATCTGACCTCTTACTCCTACTTTCTTCTTTCGCTCTGTCCCTCTCCTCCTACTCACAAAGCCGGCAATCACCTTGACTACATCTTTACTAGAAACTGCTCTACCACTAACCTCTCTGTAACTCCACTTCATGTGTCTGACCACTTCTTCATCTCTTACTCTCTCCCACTCTCTATAACTAACGACCCTGCCCCATTGACTGACCCTGTACCTGTTCGTCGCAACATTCGCTCCCTCTCTCCCTCCTCTCTGGCATCCTCTGTTCTATCTGCTCTCCCTCCTACTGACTCCTTCTCACTCTTGCATCCGAACGCTGCTGCTGAGACTCTTCTCTCAACTCTTTCCTCCTCTCTAGACTCTCTCTGTCCTCTTACGACCCGACGGACTGGCAAATCCTCTCCGGCTCCGTGTCGGTCTCAACCGGTGCCATGAGGGCCACCATGGGAGCACCGGAAAGAAGATGGCGTAAATATAAACGACCTGACGACCTGCTTGAATTTCAATCTCTTCTCTCCTCTCTTTCTGCTTCTATCTCTGCTGCCAAAAGCTCTTTCTACCAATCCAGAATGGAATCTTAATTTTCTAATCCCAAAAAACTCTTTTCGATCTTCTCCAACCGCCTCGAACCCCCTCCTCGCCTCTCCACCCTTCTTCCGGGTGACTGTGTCCACTACTTTACCAAGAAAATAGCTTCTTCCCTTTCTGTCCAAAACCCTTGAACGTGCGATCTTTAACCAACTCTCCTCCTATCTCCACCATAACAACCTCCTTGACACCCACCAGTCAGGCTTCAAGGCAGGCCATTCCACAGAGACTGCTCTCCTTGCTGTCTCAGAGCAACTCCACATGCTAGAGCCGCCTCTCTCTCCTCTGTCCTCATCCTTCTGGAGCTCTCTGCTGCATTCGACACAGTCAACCACCAGATCCTTATTTCCTCCCTTCAGGAACTTGGTGTCTCAGGCTCTGCTCTCTCCCTTTTCTCGTCCTACCTCGACAGCCGCACCTACCGGGTAACCTGGCGAGGATCTGTGTCGGAACCTTGTCCTCTTACTACGGGAGTTCATCAGGGTTCCGTCCTGGGTCCCCTTCTCTTCTCGCTCTACACCAACTCTCTCGGCGCTGTCATTTGCTCGCATGGCTTCTCCTACCACAGCCATGCCGATGACACCCAACTATTTCTCTCCTTCCCTCCCATATCTGTCTGTCTGACTGACATCTCTCAGTGGATGTCCGCCCACCATCTAGAAATCAACCTCGACAAGACTGAACTACTTCTCTTTCCAGGAAAAGACTCTCCGACCCAGGACTTGACTGTCAACTTTGGCAACTCTGTGTTAACGTCCACTCTAACCGTTAGGAACCTCGGCGTGACACTCGACAGCCGACTCTCCCTGACTCTCAACATCACTGCGACAACACGATCCTGTAGATACACGCTCTACAACATCAGGAGAATACGTCCTCTTCTCACTCAGAAGGCTGCCCGGGTACTGATTCAGGCTCTTGTCATCTCACGCCTGGACTACTGCAACTCCCTCCTGCCAGGTCTCCCTGCTACCTACATTCGACCTCTGCAGCTCATCCAGAATGAAGCAGCTCGACTGGTCTTTAATCTTCCGAAATTCTCCCACACTACTTCACTCCTCCGCTCTCTTCACTGGCTACCGGTGGCTCATCCAGTTCTAACCATTGGTGCTCACCTACCATGCTGTGAATGGATGGGGTCCAGCTTACATCCAGGACATGGTCAAACCCTACATCCCGACCTGCACTCTCCGCTCTGCATCTGCAAAACTGCTTGTTCCTCCTCACTGGGAGCAAAACACTCGACTAGATCAACACTCTTTGCTGTCCTGCTCCTAAATGGTGGAACGAGCTCTCTGAAGACATCAGGACCACAGAGAGCCTTCACATCTTCAGACTAAAGACACACCTCTTCAGACTCTACCTCCACTAAAACACTACCACTTAAATTGTACTTATAACGGCTCTTATCTATAGCAAATTGTAAATTGGCTTATTTGAGGAAATTGCACTTTCTTGTTTCTTGTTCTTCTGAGTTTGTACCCTATGGTTGAATGCACTTATTGTAAGTCGCTTTGGATAAAAGCGTCAGCTAAATGACATGTAATGTAATGTAATTCTCATCAGACAACTTACAGAAATGATTTCCAGGACCTGGAAACCACCGTCCAATGAAAGCTGCCATCAATCCTGGGTTGATACCAATCTGGTGAATAAAGCGGCGCACGTTTTTTTAAAGCGTTCAAAAACACAAATCATTTGGCTCCACTCAAACAGCTGAACAGGGAAGCTTACGATGACGTAGTCGAGATTGTACTCCAGCAGGTCCGGTAGAGTTTTTGTCATGACTTCCTCCTCCGACATTCCCTTGAAGCGGTCGATTTTCCTCTTCACCTTCTTGAAGCTCTCGTCGATCTTCTCTAGCTTGCCGTCTCCCTGAGCGCCGGCGGCCTTCTTGGGCTTAGGACCGGGTTTGGCTTTCGGGGCATTTGTGTCCTTTGGCGTCGTGGGAACTTTCTGAGTTTTTGGTGCTTTAGGAACTTTTGGAGGTTTTGGCGGTTTCGGTGCTTTGGGTTCCTTGAGTTGAGCTGGTCTGCCTCTTTTTTTGGCCGGGGCTGCAAGAAAAGTTCAGAGAGGTGACGTCAGACGGATGAACTGCCTGAATCTTAGCCATTTCCTGGTTGATTGTTGCGCACCCTCTACAAATCAAATCAAACCTCCATGCAAACCACAATACCAGTCAAAGATATTTAAAAAAGCTTATTAACAGAACCATTGGCATGACACTGTCATGCAGTATTACTAAACTTTTGTCAACACTTTATGCTTAATTAAGAATCCTGGGATCTGAGCCCAGAACCAGCCTATAAACAGTGAGGGAGTTCAAAGGCGATCATAGTACGTTTAGCCAGGTTCTCCGGTTCCTGCTGATCCATCATGGGTTCTAGATAAGACAAGTGTGCCATGGCTGCCTCTCCTGTCTGCCCCTCTGGGTAGTGAGACGGATGGTTGAAGCCTGAATATTGGGCCTGGAGAGCATGAAACTGCTGTGCAGACTGAACCCTGTGAGAAAGAATGATTTTTAAACAAACAGGGGAGGTATTAATACAACGTGTGAAGTTGCAGCGGGATGGGCTGCAGGACTCAAGCAGAGTTAGACCAGTGGGCTGTGTAACCACACAATTTGAGCACTGTGTGCTGTCTTGCTTTGTTACACAGTGATGATGCATCATTTGGTTTGATAGATTCTTAAATATAACGGATGGCAGTTTTCATTTATGATAAGGCGTGCATTGAACTTTAGCACATACGCTAACAATATCTAGCATCTTTCATGCTAGTGTAACGGGTGTTTGACTCCACTTGCCATCGCTACAAATAATGACAGGGTGTCACGTGGGTGCCCTCTAGTGCAGGGGTCTTCAACGTTTTTCAAGCCAAGGTCCCCCAAACTGATGGCGAGGTGGAGCAGGGACCCCCTATTCTACGGAGTTTGGTCCGCCATCTTTTATTTTTGAGCTTCACGCTCTTTAGACGTGAGCATAAACACGATCTGATTGGCTGGTGCCTACGCTGTCGTATTCGCATGAAAGGAGCAGTGAGTGAACCGGTGCCCAGCTTGAGAGCCGCTGAGGGAAGCTGAATGTGTCTGTTGCGGACTGACAGATAATGTCTTCTCCATCAATTTATCCGTTCGCTTCAATATGTTGGATTCATGTTAATGTGTATGTAAAGACCATAAATAAAATTCTGATTCTGAAGACATTTACATTTGTGGGGAAAAAAATTGTTTTAAAAAATTGTCTTATCAACCAAAAATTTGTTGAAGACCTCTGCGTAGTGGGTCCCTGCGGACGTGGGTGTGACACCCTGTAGCTAAAGTTAGTCTGCTGCAACTAAGTTGGCTGTAGAAAGTCCCCTTTGCAATGCTAATTCAACCAGCTCATGTGTTCATATTCGCCAGGGTGTCCAATGTCGCAAAATAAACGGCTGATTGGAGTCGAATGTGGTCCGTGTCCTGGTAACACAACGCAAGAGAGACTACAACCGCTACACTAGCAATATTTAAGTAGTTGTAATAGTTATGCATCATGCACATTCCTTGTATGTGAACACCTGCTGAATAAACTGGATTCTGATTTTATCAATTATCAAGAGTTGATTAATCCTCATGAAGGAAATTCCTTTATGTTAACTTTATTGTTAGGTCCACATTGTCATTGCCATTTTATTTTAGATTGTGTGGCTGGTTTGATTCAGTTGGAATCAGATGGAGACAATTTAGAGAGTATTGTTTGATTTGTTATTTTATCAAATAAGATGATTTACAACTTGCTATATTCTTAAAAACGACTGCCTGTCTTCATTTTAGCGAGGATGAAGTATGAGCATCACTTTTGAAAATATGTGTGTTGCATGTTGATGATTTAAAAACAGATAACAATAAATCCCCCTGGAGAGGTGTGTCTGTTTCACACCAGATGGAGAACCTACACTGTATGAAAGCTACCGGTCAACGAAGGTTATGGAAATAAGGACACTGTAAGAAATGTTAAATCCTATTGAGCGAAAATATTCCACTGAACAGACGCTTCCCTTTACTTTGCCTCTTTTAGAATAAAGTAAAACTCCAGGTTACAACCAAGCAATACACACAGCATTGAAAATCATCATTAACGCAACGACCCAAACACAAATGGTAAAACAAAACTCAAAAAGGGGCACACATGTTTCCTTTCATTTTCATCCCACTTTGCCATTCAGAGGTCTGCAGATGTAGTTGAGTGGACCACCTTGTGGCGGAGGAAGACTCACCACTGTTGAAGATACTCCGGGGAGACAACAGGGAATCCATTCAGCTTGTCTTCCATCTTTTGGGTGGTTTGACTTTATCAAATAAATCAATAGGCAAATTGAGGAAACATAGCTGGGGGATGTACACGTTGGTTTAGCATATTGAGGGTCTGGCAGTGTATGAATCTGAATGCATGTGCCGGGGCATTTCACATAAAGGGTGGCGGTAGCAACAAAAGACAAACCACGAGATAAACAAGACCAAACAAAAGAATGACGACGGAGATAACACAACAAAACAAAGTTAAACAGCGTCACGTAGAGCGTACGAACAGTGTATATTATTCACAGCAGAATCCACTTCTTACGTCACACTCGCACCTTGTTCCACGGCAATGCTAACCAGCGAGCTAAACCCCAATGGAAACCGGTTCACGTTATTCATTTTCAAACCGCTTCAAAATGGCGTTACGCTGCTAGTAGGTAGATGTATGGGTGTGCTGGTGTCTCATTGGAATCACAGAGGTTTCATATTCCGGGAGATAATCTGAATTGTATTGTTAAAAGCAATTCAGCAGCAGTGCCACAAGTGCAGCTAATAAACAGCTAGCTGTTGAGCTAATTTAGGTTTGGTTTCAAATCGAGCGAGATTCCTCGCATAGAAATCGCTCCGACTTTACCAGTATTTAAAAACGTAGACGTACCTGTTGTGGGTAATGTTTATATGAGTATCTTCGGTACGTAAAACTGTTATTTTTCCATCTACCCTGCTATTCTATTCACAAGATATGAGGAGTAACACAGGCAACAAAGACATGACAGTCCTGCCAGTCAACTTTGACACCAGACGATCCCAAGTCTAAGACGTAGGTGTGCAAGAATAAACATAGGTTTGACTCTAGAAGAACAAATGACTAAAAGGGACCTAAACAATAGTATTTAGTTTCATACATCTATATGCAATAAAATGTTCTCAATACGGCGTTTTTTTTACAGAAAACTACACTGTAAATGTAAAACCAAACGAAACCCTACCTCCCCTATAGAATAGTTGGTATGAGCTGTTCGGCTTTTAAAGTCTGCTGGCGAGGCTCCTACAGTGGGCGATGTTTAAAGGGTTTGTTGGCAGCTTGCAGGAATGACGATTTTCTGCATATACCCAGTGAGCACAAGACGTAATTTAAACGTTGAAATATGGTTGAAATCGGGTTGAAATGAGGTCTGAACGTCTAAGACCTCATTTAAAAGTCTTTTCAACCGTCTAAAAATGGGATGAAACATCAACGTGCCAGAAAACGTTAATTTGTTGATAAATGTGTCATATTGTAACGTAAGGTTGAAAGAGAGACGATATTAACGTTAAGATTTTCAGAATAATTAATGAACTGGTCGGCGAAATTTGGTCTACGCGAAGACGTAATTTCAACGTATTTACTATTTCGCTTAAAACGTCATAAATATGAAACTACGGACTGCGTGCTGTCAATAAGATGCGTTTAAGACATAATAATGCGGGCAGGTTCAAACATTACCTGTAAACACGTGACTCCGCTCACATCTGTAACGCGCATGCGCGAGTTCTTAGACGCCTGCAGAGCTCCGACCGGACGCAGCACGAAGCGAAGTTACGGCAGCAGAGCGACATGAACGGGCTGATAGAACCACGACTACCGGCTCCACTACTCTGTAAGTACGCGAGTGTTTGAATGAAGCACACATGGAACTATAACCGGGTGTTTTACTTGTGCTGCCGACTCGATACAGGAAAGACGGCCCTTTTTGTTAAGCTAGTTAGCGTTAGCGCAGGTAGTTTGCTAGTTAGCATGCTAGCTTGGAGCATGCTAGCGTGCAGCATGATGACCTGGACCAAAAGTAAACATTCCAGACATTTTTGTGCGTGTTTGGTGTTACTAATGCGTTAGATTGTTGCTGTACCCATAAATATTATTGCATTTCACATTGAAAAAAATACGTTTTTAAAGCAATGGTGGCTAAGTTGCATTGCAAGGGTGAAGGGCTGAATTCAACAAGTTGTGCTCTGTAAACAAGAGGCCGAAACATTGTAAGTTACTGCTGCTTAAAGCATGATACTGTGTAATATACCTGGACATGTTACTCCAGAAATACCATAAGTTGCAGATGAATTGTTATCTTGTTTACAATGTAATAAGTAAACCATCTATAAATGAGTGTTCTAACGCACCTGCTGCTGTTATTATTATTAGTTTATTACTGTCATCATAAACCCAAATGACCAACTTTGCCTTTGTGCTTTCCCTCCTCACAGGTTTCTGCGGGTGGTGGTTGCATCTGATGGAGGTTACGTCTGATGATGGTTGTCCCTGCACTGGTCCTGCCTTACCCCTGGCTTAATAATCCACAATATTAGAATCATTTATGTTGTAGGAATCGGATGTACTGTACATCTTTTAAGTTGTTCACACCTTCTTCCCTACTGTTTTCCCCTCAGGTTTCTCCAGGTTGAAGGTTTTTTACATTTTGGGGTTTAGGGGACAGGGTGTTGCATGTTTACAGATTGCAAAGCTGAACAAAATAAAATGATTTGAATTGAATAAACACGTTGACCAGAGGAATCTGCTTTGTGCACTCTGACTCCCTTTACACAAAGAATCCTCAAGTGAGGATGAGGGAGATGCAGCTGATTTCAGGTATACTATCCCAACTCAAGTGAGGCACATCTTGTTACAGAATCTATAATGAAGTTCCAATGATTCAGAAAAATGGTCTACAAACACAGAATTGTTGAACACAGAAATGTTGTTTCTGCACTTTTAATTCCATAATTTATTTTCCTGAAAAATATATTTTATTTCTGTATTGTTTTTAATTAGCAAAAGTGCTGTTATATGTATAGTGTTATATTTATAATAAATACAAATCAATAAAATAATGTGTTTGTCCTTGTAAAGGGATGTTAACATGACAACTGTGACTAAGTATGTAACTTGTACGTTTCCAGCGAGCAATTTATCCGTTGAAAGAACGTTTAAAAGACGTCTATGGCCCGACGTTGAAAAGAGGTTGCAAATTGGTTCAAAAGTGAAAGTTGTTTCAACGTCTATTCATAGACGTCTTTTCAACGTCTATTCATAGACGTTGAAAAGACGTTTACGTTTAGACCACATTTCAACCAGCGAGCATTTCAACGTTGAAACAACGTTTAAAAGACGTTGCAAAATGGTTTAATAGTGAAAGTTGTTTCAACGTCTATTCGTAGACGTTGAAAAGACGTTCGCGTATAGACCCGTTTTCAACGTGATTTATAATATCGGTGGTAAACTTACAAATGTGGACGTAGTTTCTTTTTAAACCTCTAAAATAATGATATAGCACACAAGAGAAGACGAAATATTACCGTATTAAAAAATCACGTTGAAATGTGGTCTAAACATAGACGTCTTTTCAACGTCTACGAATAGACGTTGAAACAACTTTCACTTTTAAACCATTTTGCAACGTCTTTTCAACGTCGGGCATAGACGTCTTTTAAACGTCTTTTCAACGTTGAAATGCTCGCTGGTTGAAATGTGGTCTAAACGTAAACGTCTTTTCAACGTCTATGAATAGACGTTGAAACAACTTTCACTTTTGAACCAATTTGCAACGTCTTTTCAACGTCGGGCCATAGACGTCTTTTAAACGTTGTTTCAACGGATAAATTGCTCGCTGGAAACGTACAAGTTACATACTTAGTCACAGTTGTCATGTTAACAGCCTTTAACAAGGACAAACACATTATTTTATTAATTTGCATTTATTATAAATATAACACTATACATATAACACTTTTCCTAATTAAAAATACAAAAATAAAATATATATTTCAGGGAAATTAACTATGGATTTAAAAGTGCAGAAACAACATTTCTGTGTTCAACAACAACAATTCTGTGTTTGTAGACCATTTTTCTGAATCATTTGAACTTCATTTTTAGATTCTGTAACAAGATGTGGCTGTGAGTCACTTGAGTTGGGATAGTATACCTGAAATCAGCTGCATCTCCTTCATCCTCACTTGATGATTCTTTGTGTAAAGGGAGTCAGAGTGCAGAGAACAGCCCTCAATTGCAGATTTCTCTGGTCAACGTGTTTATTCAATTCAAATCATTTTATTTTGTTCAGCTTTGCAATCTGTAAACATGCAACATCCTGTCCTAAAACCCCCAAAATGTAAAAAACCTTCAACCAGGAGAAACCTGGGGAGAAAACAGCAAGGCAGTAGGTGTGTAGAGCATGAACAATTTAAAGATGTACAGTACATCCAATTCCTACGACAGAAATGATTCTAATATTGTGGATTACTAAGCCAGGGGTAAGGCAGGACCAGTGCAGGGACAACCATCATCAGACGTAACCTCCATCAGATGCAACCACCACCCACAGAAACCTGTGAGGAGGGAAAGCACAAAGGCAAAGTTGGTCATTTGGGTTTATGATGACAGTAATAAACTAGTAATAATAACAGCAGCAGGTGTGTTAGAACCCTAATTTATAGATTGTTTACTTATTACATTATCAACAAGATAACAATTCATCTGCAACTTATGGTATTTCTGGAGTAACATTTCCAGGTATATTACACAGTATCATGCTTTAAGCAGCAGTAACTTACAATGTGTTGTCCCTCTTGTTTACAGAGCACAACTTGTTGAATTCAGCCCTTCACCCTTGCAATCTGTATTTAGCCCCCATTGCTTTAAAAACGTATTTTCAATGTGAAATGCAATATCATTTATGGGTACAGCAACAACCTAACGCATTAGTAACACCAAACACACGAAAAATATTCTGGGATGTTTACTTTTGGTCCAGGTCATCATGCTGCACGCTAGCATGCTCCAAGCTAGCATGCTAACTAGCAAACTACCTGCGCTAACGCTAACTAGCTTAACAAAAAGGGCCGTCTTTCCCGTATCGGGTGGGCAGCACAAGTAAAACACCCGGTTATAGTTCCAGGTGTGCTTCATTCAAACACTCCCGTACTTACAGAGCATTGGAGCCGGTAGTCGTGGTTCTATCAGCCCGTTCATGTCGCTCTGCTGCCGTAACTTCGCCTCGTGCTGCGTCCGGTCGGAGCTCTGCAGGCTTCTAAGAACTCGCGCATGCGCGTTACAGATGTCAGCGGAGTAACGTGTTTACAAGTAATGTTTGAACCTGCCCGCATTATTATGTCTTAAACGCATCTTATTAACAGCACGCAGTCCGTAGTTTCATATTTATAACGTTTTAAGTGAAATATTAAATACGTTGAAATTACGTCTTCGCGTAGACCAAATTTCGCCGACCAGTTCATTAATTATTATGAAAATCTTAACGTTAATATCGTCTATCTTTCAACCTTACGTTACATTATGACACATTTGTCAACAAATTGATGTTTTCTTGCACGTTGATGTTTTATCCCATTTTTAGCCGGTTGAAAAGACGTTGAAATGAGGTCTTAGACGTTCAGACCTCATTTCAACCCGATTTCAACCATATTTCAACGTTTAAATTACGTCTTGTGCTCACTGGGTTTATTCTTTCCTTCCCAGTTTGTCAATTGTGTGTGTTTGTGTGTTTCTGAGAGAGATACATTTTGACCAGATGAGTGCTGGTTACAGGTCATAAAGAGTGTTAAACTCCACTTTGCAGCTTAGCATTGCTTCTCCAGTTAGTTTCTCTAGTTGTTTCA